AACCAAAAGAGCAAAGAGCCCCTAGCCCTGGCCTTGCGGCCTTATATACCGCGCCCCTGGTGATGTGCAGGTCATGTCATGAGATCGCGCGGGAACGCAACATATACGGTCGTCAAAAGAATTCAAAACACAATGGTATGGGGATATTTCAAAAGCACACTGGTATGGTGATAAGTGTCGGCTGCATCTCGGGGCGCTGAGTAAACGTTAATCATTTCACTCCGATGGGCGACCACTACATTGTCTGCTCTTCAACGAAATTTCTCCGGCAGCGAAACGCTTGAATCATTGGAACACCGTCGAATAGTGAACAACGTTCTTCTTGAAGGCAGCGCAGATGTTAGCCGCAGCGGCTCTCGCAGAGTATCCCTGCAGGAATTGGTAGTAGACAATAAGTCGGATGATAGCTTGATCCATTATAAAGTCTAATGGCCCAAGACTCTCCACAAAGCCCTTTTATGTCCATATTCGAAAGTCGAACGCTCTACAGTAATCAGGCGTGAAACATTTAAAAAGTTCTTTGGTTTTTTCCTGGAGGAACCTGTTCAATGCGTTTTAGGGCTTATCTTCCAACCTAATAGTTATCGAAATTGAATAGCGTCATGAAAATTAGAAAGGGCCACGGGCTATGCTGGTACTGACAATCTGGACCAGAAGAAGCAAATATATATGCATTTACACGTGAAATCCTTTCCCTTTACGTTTTTCCGAATGGCAGAGCAGAGCATGCATGGTAACTAACATACTCAAAGAGCGCGCCTCACCAATCGATAAGCGTCTGACATGACACATTCCTTTCATGGCGCATTCTTAGGCACATTGCGAAAAGTGTAAACGCTGCATCATTTGAACTAAAAGCTGCATTAAATTATCAGTTGGAGCTCATCACCTGAAATGCATCTACTTACTTATTGTTAGGGCGAAAACAGCTTGTATAAAATTACAAACAATTAAGTAAATCGAGAATGGATGAAACTACATCCGTTCCTCTCAACGCAGAACTGCGCCCTAAGCTTTCAAAAGGTAAAACGTTGATCAATAATGGTTTTCATTTTTTCTTCATCTGATTATGACCTATGATTTCTACCCCGAAAACGTAGTTCAAATGGCGCCTCCTCGCGACGGACGATCGATAGTGACGTCAATTTCGACTTCATGGCCATTCAAACCATCTGCAGCATGCTGACGTCTCTTTCTACAAATTGCTGTACAAATCTTGTCTTAGATCTACACTGTCTTCTACAAATCTCGCCGCTTTGGAACTTGATCGACGTCAGTGTGATCCTCTTTCACGACGGAACTGGTGTCCTCTGCCTGGGAAGGTGAACGTCGTTGGTCGCCATAGGTGCACCCAACACTATTCCAGGCAGTTTAGCACATTCCGAATCCGTGAGAGTAGCGGTCATTCGACCACCAACTTTAGCAGACCTTGGGTCCCTGTTGGAATCACAGCATATTGCCTCAGCGGGTAGGTCGCAGTACACGCGACATTTCTTGTGGATAATTTTGGGCAGATTACGCGTTGGAGCGACATAATTTGGGCCAGTAGGGCCCTTGTCACTTGGATCGTAAATGCCTATGAAGCGCACTTCCTCACTCTGGATATTGTCTGGTTCGGATAAGTCATCTTCATTAGCATGTACCGGTTCCACTGGTTGCTCTCCTTGCTCCTCATCTTCATTAGGATGCTCAGGAAGTGCTCCCTCATTACAAATCCTTCCCCGGACTCTGCCAGACGGCAAGATTTCTGTAACGTTTGCGCCATCGAATAACTTGGTAGCAGGTTTCGTGCTATTCATCACCCTCCACAATCGATTGTAGGCATTCCTTCTCCTCTCTCCTTTCCAGTTAGTATTAGTGTAAAGGTCCAGAGCTTCATCATTTGGTGCATATGAAGTGCACAACAAGTAGATCATGACACTGGTTAACTTATTACGATTGAGACCAAGTCTAGGTTGGAAAGCGATGGTATTTGGACCATCACCAGCCTTTGCCAAGCGGATGAGACCCCTATGTTCATTGTACACCAGATTCGCCAAAGTGGAGAGCATCTCCTCATAGCCATCCACAGACTCATCTCCACGGCATACAGCCCACAGATTACTCACTACGCAAAACGGCACCACCGTATGGCCCAAATGCTGCACACACCATAACATACGTTGAACTCTGCTCTGGTCGAGTGCCACTGGTCGCCAATGAGGGCCAAATGCCCCTCAAACTTGCTCCAATTACCGCCCTCTTGGCAAACCTGCGTTGTGGCATGCAACAGTGCACATAATATCTTCTCAAAACGAGTTATGGAAGATAGCTGATTATAGCGCGGCTCGCCTTTGTATTCAAAGTACTCGGCACCCTCAACAACCTCATCTCCTTCTTCGGTGGTATCCCAGTATTCCACATAGAGGGTGGGCCCATTCAGAGCCTGTACTCCTCGCATTTCCAACAGGGCAAGAGCAGGTTCGATGACACTCATATTGTTGGTAAGGCAATCGTCTGTTATCACACTACTAATTTGCGCCATAACATCAACACGCTGAGGCCCATGTTGCGAAGTGTCCTGGCCCTCCTTGACGGCCTCCATCACCTAGGTGTCCCAACGTGAGAAGTCGAATGCACATTGCTAGCGGAATCACTAGGATGGATTGAGCTTACTTGACTCATTCTATCTGAAATGAAGTACAAAGAACTAAGGATTTTCCGAGTATCATATAACACGAACAAAGGCGCGCAATTAATAAAACCCAAAGGTGCTCTCATAAAGTCCCTAACACAAGAGCAAATAGAAGCAAAAACCCCTTATTTCCCCTAAGGAGGTAGGGAGCACCTTTAAGTACAACTGTATATACAATCTAGTGGGACCCGTCCTCTGACTTGGAGCGGTTCGGCCCCCAAGTAAGTACTTCGACCGGTAATGTACCGGGTTCTCCAGATCACAAAGGTGTGAACAAGTCTCTTTATTAAAGGCACAAATACTGAATTATGCACACAAAAAAAATATTATGTGACGGAGACAACCAAGAGAAAAAAAATACTTCTGAATACCTGTAAAGGAAGGACAACTTCTAAAGAAAAAGAAGTACCGG